CTCTCTCTCTCTCTCTCTCTCTCTCTCTTTGGACTCGCTGGCGTCGCGTCCGAGACCTGCATAATGTATGAGGTGCTGTGCTGTGTTTTGATTGACAAATATGGACCAGAGGTGGATGGAACCCCAAGCAGAGCAATCATATTATGTAAGCACATGGCCCCTTCGTGGACTTGGATGGGAGTGGAGCATTTGTGTGTCAACGGCTCGGTTGGGAAGCTTCGGCGCTCCTTGGCAGAGGACGAGAGCGTATGTATGTGTTTGGGTTATTTTACCCCTCCTGGCGGCAGCATATGCCGGAAATTCAAGCTGTGCATCCAACTGCTATACTACATACAAATGTGGTCAAGTTCGTGCACAACGCTCGCCGCTCGGGCCACCCCCACCCCACCTCGCTCAACATAGCGCTCAGTTCTGCAGGGGCACTGGCACAGTGCGTTTATGCCCCAGCCTTGAGCTTGAACCATCCCCATTCATGCTCCGTTCCGCCTATCATAATAGAGTCCATGCCACTCGCATCGACTCGCTCTGCCCACCATCACTTCTCCTTCCTTCCTTCCGTGTATCCACGCATCCATCCTTCCACCCATCCACCTATCCATCCATCCACTGCCTGCCTGCCTGCCAGCCAGCAGCAGCAGAAAAAGCAACAGCGCGTACGCAGCCTACCCAGACCACCTCGTCGGCTCGGTCGGAAGCGCGAGTACCAGTGCTCCCTCAGGTGTCACAGCAGCAGTTAGCAGCATGTCCAGCGAAGCCGCTGAAAAGCGCGATGTGCGCAATCCCATCCTTTTCGAGTGTGCCTGGGAGGTGGCAAACAAGGGTGAGTCGTTGGTGCTGGTCTGCTCAAGTCAGATCGGGTCGTGCGGTGTCCGCGGCATGTCGAGGCTCGGGAGGAGCTTGCTCCGGAGATGAGCCAGCCCACGCTAACCCTCGCCTCTCGGCCCCCGTCCAGTCGGTGGGATATACACCGTCATTAAGACCAAGGCCCCGGTGACTGCGCAAGAGTATGGCGACCGCTACACCTTGATCGGGCCGTTGTCCTACAAGACGGCGCCGATGGAGGTCGAGTCGCTCGAGCCGGAAGACCCAGCGGTGCGGGCGACGCTCGCCTCGATGCAAGAGCGCGGCGTCAAGTACCTCTACGGGCGCTGGCTAATTGAGCGCGCCCCGCGCGTGCTCCTCTTCGACACTGGCAGCATGTACCACCGCCTCGACGAGTGGAAGGGTGACTTATGGAACATTGCCGGCATCCCCACGCCACCGAGCGACCACGAGACCAACGAGACGCTCGTCTTTGGCTACCTCGTCGCCTGGTTCCTCGGCGAGTACGCCAACCACGAGCGCAAGCAGGCCATCATTGCCCATTTCCACGAGTGGCAGGCCGGCCTCGCGATCCCGCTGTGCCGCAAGCGGCATATTGACGTGACGACCATCTTCACCACGCACGCTACCCTGCTCGGCCGCTACCTCTGCGCCGGCAGCGTCGACTTCTACAACAACCTCCAGTACTTTGACGTCGACCACGAGGCAGGAAAGCGCGGCATCTACCACCGCTACTGTATCGAGCGCAGCGCAGCACACTGCGCAGACGTCTTCACCACCGTCAGCCATATCACTGCGTACGAGTCGGAGCACCTTCTAAAACGCAAGCCGGACGGCGTCCTACCCAACGGGCTCAACGTCGTCAAGTTCTCTGCCATGCACGAGTTCCAGAACCTGCACGCCGTATCGAAAGCCAAGATCAACGAATTCATCAAGGGCCACTTCTACGGCCACTATGACTTTGACCTCGAGAACACGCTCTACTTTTTCACCGCCGGCCGGTACGAGTACCGCAACAAGGGCGTTGATTTGTTCATCGAGTCGCTCGCCAGGCTCAACCATCGCCTGCAGCAGGCCGGCAGCAAGATCACCGTCGTCGCATTCATTATCATGCCCGCTGCAACGCACTCGTACACGATCGAGGCGCTCAAAGGCCAGGCTGTTACCAAGCAGCTCAAGGATACGGTCGAGCAGATCCAGCAGCGGATCGGCGACAAACTGTTCGAGCGCACCGCACGCTACACTGGCGAGGGCGGCATGGACATCATCGACCCGGGCACCCTGCTCAGCGAGCAGGACAAGATCCTACTCAAGCGCCGCATTTTTGCGCTCAAGCGCAACTCGCTCCCCCCTGTTGTCACACATAACATGGCTGACGACGCCGCTGACCCGATCCTCAACCAGATCCGCCGCGTCCAGCTGTTCAACCGCCCGCAGGACCGCGTCAAGATCATTTTCCACCCCGAATTCCTTAACGCCAACAACCCTATTCTCGGTCTCGACTACGAGGAGTTTGTCCGCGGATGCCACATGGGCGTCTTTCCTTCATACTACGAGCCGTGGGGCTACACGCCGGCGGAATGCACAGGTGAGAGCCTTTCCCTCCTCCGCCCGCTCGCCCGTCGTTGTCGTCGGAGGCTGCTGGAGTGGGCACGGCGCTGACGCTGTTACCTTTCTTGCCCTCCTAGTTATGGGGATTCCATCCATCACGACCAATCTCTCCGGTTTCGGCTGCTTCATGGAGGATATGATCGAGAACAGCGAGGATTACGGTATCTACATTGTCGACCGGCGCATGAAGGGCGTCGACGACAGCGTCAACCAACTAACGGACCAGATGTTCAGCTACACCCAGAAGACCCGCCGGCAGCGCATCAACCAGCGCAACCGCACTGAGCGCCTCAGCGACCTGCTCGACTGGAAGAAGCTCGGCCTTGAATACGCCAAAGCACGCCAGCTCGCGCTGCGCCGCGCCTATCCGGACAGCTTTGCCGACGACGACGACGATGAGAAGGACTACGGATACTTTGACGATGATGTTACCAGCGGCGGCGGCGGCGGCAAGATGCCACCGCCACTGTCGATGCCTGGCAGCCCAAAGCTGAGCGGGATGCGCACGCCAGGCGACTTTGGCACGCTCGCGGAGGACATGGAGGGGCTCAGCACGTCCGACTACAGGGGTGCGACGTCGACGTTCTGGCGGCGCCTCTCGCAGCCGGACGACGAGGAGGAGGAGAAGTTCCGCTTCCCGTTGGTGATGAAGCCGCGGCGGCGCGGGACATCGGTCGGGAGCAACGTTGGCAGCACGGTGAGCGGTGCGAGCACACCTGGCCTGCTGGGCAGCAAGACGCTCAGCGCGCAGGACCTCGATCGTGCCGACGCGGCGCTTAGCCACCACCATCATCACCGCGACGTCAACGGGAATGGGAACGGGAACGGGAATGGGCATGGGCATGGGCAGCACAATGGTTATTGATCGCCAACGCTGCTGCTGCTCGGTCCGGGCTCGGAACGAAGGTTGTCGCAAAAAAGGGACCCGTGCTCACACGAACCTACCTCCAAAAATACTAGCAGCGGCGTCGGCGACGCGCAAAGCGCAACCCGCGGCTATTCTTCTTCCCGTCCCCTCCCATTGCACGCACATGCCCACGCTCACACGCTCGACTGTATCTTGTACGCACCCGTATACTCTGTTTCTCTTGTGATGAATGAAGGGTCCTTGTTTGGTCCTTTGTCTTTGAGCCCGACTCGCACGACGAGCTTTTCGGCTTGCGTTAGCATGTGAGATCGTGAAAGGTTCGACAGAGCATGTCGCGGAAGCCTTCGATTCGACGACCTCATTTGCCTGGGGGATGATGCTACCGTAGAAAAGGCGCTCCCTCAGAGTGGGCCACTTTTGTCGAAAGCATTCATATTGAGTTGCAGCCTGCAACTTGGACCTCCCCGCGGGCTCAGCCCGCCGATATATGTACCCAAGTAGCATGCCGAGTTAAATGACGGGCGAAGTCAGAACCACGCGCTCCAACGGCGCTCTCGTCATCTACGTCCAATCTCAATGAAAGCTGCACAACAAGCTCTTCATGCAAAGCAGCAGACGCATTGACCTCAACAAAGACAATGATTGCAAGTACACATACATAATGTGTGACGCCGAGTGAGAAGGGCAGGAGGGCGGGGTCAGCATTGTATACTAATCTATTCTACACAACCGAGTGTGTATAGTACATTAGTTCATGCGCCTGCCGAGACTTTGCCCAGCGCCGGAGAGCAATCAAAGCAACAAGAAGTAGAGAGGGAAGTGGAAGAGAAACGAGAAGGCGCTGGAAATATCTGTGTAATGACAGGGACTGGCATCCAGCAAGGTCGAATCTGCGACCCCGCGGCGCAGGGGCAAGGACAGGGGGCGCGGACGATTGACGGGATGTGGATGCCCAGGCCGCGTGATTGCGCTCGTCTTGCGTCTACGACTTTAGAACGGAGTCCCAAGGGAGCATTCAAGTCGCGCGGTCCTACGGACCCCAATTAGCCACCCTTCTCTCCGGCGCTCGACGGGCGAGCCGCCAGTGCTTTTGCTGGTCCAACGCTGACGAGCGGAAATAGGGGAAGCGATGAGCTGATGGGCGACATGGAGTGCGATTGGCACACAGGGCCACAATGTAACAGGAGTGCTGGATTCTTGGTCCGGCTGGCAGTGCTACTACATAAATGTGGCGGAGTGAGTTGCATATTGATACATAATTGATAATTACACATGTACATACACATAATCTGCTCTAGAGAAACTCTGCTGCTGATGAGATTTTGTTTTTGGACAGGCCAGGTGGTAAATGGCAGAGATCCCTATTATGTTTAGGCGCGTTTGAGCCTGTGCTGCTGCTATGGCAGTGTCCGGATGGGATGTGAGTTTGTCAGCATTCTGTCCCATGTGTCAACTGTCCTCTTACAGTGCCCCCGGGATGCGCGCATCCGCACGGTTTGAGCGAGCAACCACATGGCAGCGTACATAGGTACATGTGAGAAAATCGCGTGACCAGTAAGTAACAAGCGAGACGCGACTGATGCGCGGTGAGCTGTCCACCCCGCTAGCGACCGCTTGATAACACATGTGGTGATGATCTAAGGCGATGGGGCTGTCTGGCAGTTCTCTATTATGGGTGGGGTGGGTCGTGCGGCATGTGCCCACCGGCGCCCAGCAATGCGGAGACTTTTCGGGTTTCCTTCTTTGCATATGGAGTTAGCCCTTCTCACCCGTTGGGCGGTGGCCCCTCTCTTCCGTCCAGCAAAGTCAACCCCAAACAGCCACCCACTTCGCATTATTCAGCAGCAGCGGTTGGCCCTTTTGCGTCTTGGAAGAAACGGGAGAGGGCCCCTGGACCACGAGGTCCGAGTCAACCGAAAGTCGATACAGCACTCGACAGGAGTACATAGTGGTGGATGAAGGACGATATTGGGTGTACAATGGCGTACATTTTTTCCGTGGTGACTGGACACTGGGCAGGGACAGTGCCGGCTGGGCAGAGGACCAGTACACAGACTACAAGCTTCTCCACGCTTTCACTTATCAGGAACGTTAGCAGTCGTCGATGGAGAAGATCCTTCGCCTCTGCCTCCTGTCTTGCACCTACCATGCAGACTTTAAGTGATGGATCTATTGTTATTAGAGAGATATGAAGATTAGCTATCAGCAGAGCTTGGTGTGTGAAGATGGATTCAAGCTTGGCCAATGCCCCTGTGCTGCATTACATGTGTACTCGCTGCGCGCGGACCGGCGGATATCGGATCTGACTGGGTCAAGTGCCATTTCGTACCCTTGCTTCCAAGCCAGCAGTGGCTAAAGAGGGATGAGGATAATGAATGTACTTTATGAATATATTGTCAGCGAAGACCGCCCTGCTTTTGCTTCATCTCCTCGACCCTCCCTCCTGCTGCTGCTCCTCCTCCCTGCGCTGATCCCCATTCCCCCATCCCCCGCCTCCTGATACATCTTCACCCTTGCTGCTGCCTGTTCCCCGAGAGCAGCACCGCCGTCCGCCGCCCCCCTTCCCAAGTACCAGCGCTTCCTCGCTGGGTTCTGCCCCCATACTCTCCTGCTGCCGTTCACAGATACATTCTTTTTATTCCCCTTCTGTCTCCCACCATGAAGCTCCTCGCCGCCTCGCTCTTCCTGCTCGCCGCCCTCGGCCAGCTGCAGGCGGTCGAAGCCGTGCAGGCGTCCAATCCATACCTCGCCGGCCCAGCGCCGTACTCCAAAGCAAATCCCTTGGCCCGCACCAAACCCGCCTCTGCCGGCAACGGAAAGATCTCGACGGCCAAAGCGGCCGCAGACAGCAACACCGTCCCTGGACTGTACATTGTCGAGTTCGAGGACAACGCCAAGCTCGACATTCAGAAGCGCGGACTCCACCTGCACAACCAATTCCACGCGTACATGGCCCGTGCCGAGTCCAGCGCCGCCGCCTCGACCACTTCTGACAAAACATCCAAGGGCAAAGGCAAGAGCGCCTCCAAGGGCAAGAGTAAAGGCGTCAAGTACGAAACCCGCTACACCTACACTGACCCCAACATCTTCCGCGGCCTCTCCGTCAAGCTCGACAATGTCGAGGACGTCGCCCACCTTGCCGCCGCGCCAGGCGTCAAAGCTGTGCACCAGGTGCGGCGCTTCAGCGTGCCCGCCTTTGCGCCCACAGTCGTCGATGGCGAGCTGGCCTCAGCCATCGGCGCGGGAAGCGCTAGTGATGCTGTCAAGCGCGACTGCGATGACGACGATGAGCAGCTCGCCAGGCGCGCGAGTTCCGTCTCCAAGAAGGACACTTTTGAACCGCACGTTATGACCGGTGTCGACAAGCTACATGCACAGGGCTACTTTGGAAAGGGCATTACCGTAGGCGTGGTCGACACGGGCATCGAGTGAGCATCTCCTCTCTAGTGAAAAAGTAGACGTCGAGCATTGTCACCATAACTGATGCCTTCCTCCCCTCTTAATCACAGCTACACGCACCCGGCACTCAACTCGGGCAAGCCGGCCGGCACGGCGTGCTTTGGAGCCGGTTGCCAGATTAGCGGCGGGTACGACTTTGTCGGCGACAACTACACGGGCAGCAACACGCCACAACCAGATTCGAATCCGTTTGCCAACTGCCAGGGCTCCGGCCACGGCACGCACGTAACGGGGACCATCATCGCCAAGGATGCCGGCCGCGGCTTCACGGGTGTCGTCCCCGAGGCGAACGTCAAGATGTATCGCGTCTTTGGCTGCGGAGAGGAAGCTAGTGTGACCGACGACGTAATTATTCAGGCTATGACCTACGCCTACTTTGACGGCGTCGACATCATCAGCCTCTCGATCGGCGGGCCCGCCAACTGGATCGAGTCGCCCGCCGCGGCCACCGCCAGCCGGATCAGCTACAAAGGTATCCCCGTGTACGTTGCTAACGGAAACGAGGGCTCCGAGGGTGCCTTCTACGGCTC